TATTAACCATAGGTTAATAGCTAGATATTTCTTTTTAATTTGATTCTTTATGTTTTACCTAATTTCTCTTGCAATTCCCTGCTGAGAAAATGAACATCTTCATAATACCAGTTTTTTGGTGTTTTTCTGTCAGCTACGACAACAAGATTCCAGTCTTTCAGCGATGCTAATCTCTGAAATCGGAGTAGATAATTGAGATTTTTGCAATGTTCAAAGAGCAATACAACCTTGATGTCCTTCGTGGGAGGATTTATTGATGTTACGACAATCCACTTGTCAGACACTATTGGAGGTAATCTGTATCTAAAATTAATGACTTTGCTCGAAATTTGATAATTCGAAACAAATCAAGGTTTGGATATTTGGAGCTAGCAGTTGTAGATGTTACAATAAAGTATTTTGAAATTGCATTCTCGAATAATTACAGCACTGGAGTGCATAGAAGAACATGATGACTAGTTAAAATGTCTATTTCAAAGAAATTTTGACATGGTAAATGCTTAATATCAACTAAATGTGAACTGTACTCAAAACATACTGTTTCAAATATCCCATCGAAGTCTTCTCGGGATTGGCTGAGGATCTGCAGAGTGTGCATTGAAGGTATAGAGGAACAAAAAAGCAAACAAAAGATCCTATTTTATTTTCCAGTTCAACGCATCAAAGAAGTTCTTTTATTGCTACTTTCAATTTGGACTGGACGAGCTTCATTTTCCTTTTTTTTAAATGATCTGACCTGTGTGTTCCAGCCAAATCGGGTAAGGCTTCATTTCGTCTTGAAGATGCAATTGTTACGTCCTTGTCGTCTTTATATAACATCACAACAATGAAAATAACTGATACAACTATCACCACTTTTGTTCGACGACTCATCTTGAAAACTGAAAGAATAGGATAAAGCTAATTATGAATGCAAGAGATTATATAACTGGTGTAAAATGTAAATAGAGTTTCTAGAATCTTAAAAGCTCAACATCTAGAAGATTCATAGTAGATGATAGTAGAATATATCGCTGGAGACACATTCAAATTCAATCATTTGTGAGTGTACCTTATCGGCATGTAATCTTTCTGGGGTACAATTTGGTAACCAGTACGGTAGTCGAACATGGAACGCCAAAAAATGAACAGAGCTTTGCTATCTCGAAATAGTAAGCTGTTAACTACATTTAAATTAGCTGTTAAGCATGAACGGCTGAAGGCTACGTTGTCTTCTCTGCCGAATTTGGAAATCCAGAACGAATTGATTAACATTATGGAATGAATTGAATAATCAGCATGTTGATCCACTTTTGCACCAGCT